TAATATATATATATATATATATACATACATATATGTGCATATACCTGCATATATATATATATATATATATATATATATATATATAATATATATATATATATATATATATATATTATATATATATATATGAAAATCTATACACATACACACACACACACCGTTATTATCTTTATTATAATGATTAATATTGTTGCTATTATTATCACTTTTATTGTCATTTTCATTATCATTATCATTAATATTACTATCATTATCGTTGTTGATATTATCATTACTATCATTATAATCATTATTATCATTATTATTATTACTTATCCTTATTATTTTCATGTTCATTTTCATTGTTATTATTATTGTTATTATTATTATTATCATCATCATTTTTACAATCATTGACATCACAATTATCATCATATTTTTATTATTACTATCATTATTATTACTATTGTTGTTATTATCATGACTATCATTATCATTTATATTATCATCATTATTATTATCATCACTGTCAGTATTACTGTTTATATTATCATTACTATCATTATTGTTATTATCATTATCATTACTATTTTCGTGATCATTTTCATTGATATTATTATCTTTATTATATCCACTATCCTCATTGTTATTATTATTATTATCATAATTATCATGATATGTTTATTACTATTTTTTTTATTCGCATTATCATTATTATTACAATTTTTCATATCATCATTATTATAATTATTCCTATTATTATCTTGAATATTATCATTATTACTATAAATTTCATTATTGTTATTACTATCACTGTCATTATTAGTATGAATATTATCATTATCATCATCATTATCATTTATATTATAACTGTTATCATTATCATTTTTCCAATGACCATTATTATTTCATTTATTATTATTATTATCATTTCTACTTCAGTCATTATTTTTAGTTTATTATAAAAAATACTAATGTCATGTTTGAACATTGTTACCATATTCATTTTCATTATATTTTTTTATTGTAACTATGATTATCAACACGATCATTCATATTATTTTATTATCATTATCGTTATACTTACCATTATTAGCATTACCATAATTATCACCATTATTATCATTGTTATTGTTACTATCGCTATTAACATTAATATTGTTCTTTTCATTGTTATTATTATTATCATCATTATCATTGTTATTACTATGATGATTTTATTATCATCATTATCATTATCATCATCATCAACAACATTGCTGTTGATATGGCTATCATCATTATTATCATTATGACAATTAGATTTATTTCGTTTACTTTTTTGCCGGAAACTGAAATTAACTCCTTGAAAAAACATTCAAAATTCTATATGACGAAAACGAAAAAATACACAAATTCAATTTTACTCTCTCTGTGAATAACGCACCTAACTTGTTTATTTATGTATATCACTTAACAAAGTATAAACAAATTTGTTAACGTGAACAGTGAGAAGAGGTCACAAACTTCCTACTTCTGCTGTAGTTTTCCACTCTGTATTCTCTCATTAAGATTTTATAATTTTAATATTGTACTCCTTGGGGTTATATCGACTGAATGAATATACTGAATATTTTCTTCTCAGTTGGGGCTCAAAAGATGAAGGAAAATAGTTATTTTTCTTTGGTGTTTATGTGTATCTGTGTCAGTGTGTATGCATGGCTGTGTATGATGCACTCAGAAATACATTCATACATGCTCATATACACATATATGAATATTTGTGAATGTATATGTATTTCTTACACACACATAGTGATAATAATAATCATAACAATAATAACAATAATGATGTTAATAGTATTAATTAAGATAATAGTGATCATAACAAGTATAATCATGTTAATAGCAATGATAAAAAAACAGTGATAATAATAATGGTAATAATGATGAACATGATAATAATGATATTAGTGAAATAAAAATGGTTAAAACGATAGCAAAATATGATGAAAATAATAGTTATCATAAAGTTCATAATAATGATGATTAGAGAACTGATGATAATAATGATAATAATGATAGCAAAATAAAATTGATAGTAATGATGATAATAATGATAATAATGATAGCAAAATAAAACTGATAGTAATGATGATAATGATAATAATAATGATAGCAAAGTATAATTGATAGTAATGATAATAATTATGATAGTAATACGAATAATGATAATGATAATGCAGTATACGGACTAGTAATCCCCAGGGGGCCCACCTAACCAGAGGAATGCCTTAAGGGCCAGGGTCCCTCCCCATGAAGGTCAGTGGGCATCCGTAGGGCATGTCCACCCCCTGACGTCAACATTCCCCTTTCAAGTTACTACTGTATATTCCCAGGGGATATGACCTTGTGGGAGGCACGGCGGGAAATCTTTGCATGTTCCAAGGTGTGCGGATGAATAATTAAAACAAATTGAAATAACTAAAAACACTGTAAGAAGCCAGGGGGGGGGGATAGGCTAGCATAAGAAAAGTACAAGATGCAGGAGGAGGGTAAAATGAAAGGAGAAACTGTGGTAGAAGACGTAAGAAAGAAATAAGGTCAAGTAGGAGAACCACGGGGCTGCATGCGACATGTGGTGGATGTATAAGTGCAATCCTGCACGGCCCAGCACTATCTTTGATGAATACCGTCACTGCGGCTTAATACTTAGCTTTTCCGTCCTTTTAAGTTCCTTAGCTGGAGTTGCCGGCCACTTAGGTATAATCTTCATGTAAATGTGTAAAAATGCCAGAGGATGAGGAGAGAAACGCCCCGTGGTACAGTGGAACAACGAATGTTTATTTCAAAGCGGTACAAGGGGGCCGCGGGAGGCCGTGACGTGTAAAAGTATTAGCTTCTAGTAAAACGAAAATAAAACAAAAAGAAAATAAACGTTAAAACACTATAGGAATATAGTAAATTAAAAAGGAAATAGAAAGGACACATATAAATTCAATTATAAACATATGAACACCGAGCTGACATCGGCAGCGCAATTCAGCAAGTACGGCAAAGCGGCCATAGGGTTGAGAACAAATATGGATATGATACTATACCTGGATCGCACTGTTGAACGCAACCACAACGCACACGCGCGCGCACACATGCGCGTGCACCGCACACCAAGCGAGCATCATTTGAGGGGGGAAGGGGTAGGGGGTGTTGAGAACATTGTCACGCTACAATAAGGATAATGATAATACTGATAACAGCAGTAGTAATAATGTTAATAATGGCAAATGATAATGATAATGATGATGATGGTAATGATAATAATGATGATATTATTGATAATAATAATAGCAGTAATAATAGTAATAATGTTTATAATGATAATGACGATAATAATAACAATAATAATGGTAATGATAGTAATAATGATAATATATAATAATGATAATATAATAATTATATAATAATAATAAATGAATAAAAACAATAATAATGTAATAATGATGATATAATAATGATAATGATAATAATAGTCATGATACTACTACTACTACTAATGATAATAATAATAATAGTAATAATGATAATGATAATAATAATAATGATAATGATAATCATAAGGATAATAATAATAATGTTATTATTAATAGTAATAGTAAAAATAATAAAGATAAATATTATGATAATAACATCAATGATAATGATAATACTAAAGACAATAATACTGATAGTGATAATAATATATAATAATAATGATAATTAATAATGATATAATAATAATAATAATAATAATAATAATAATAATAATAATAAAAATGATAAAAATAATAGTAATAATAATAATAATGATAATAACAATAATAATAATAATATTCATAATAATGATAATGAGGATGATGATGCATAAAATGATAATGATGATAATAATGGTAACAATAACAATAACGTTAATAATAATAATAATGATTATAATAATGATAGTAATAGTAATAATAGTGATAATGTGAGTTAGAAAAATAGTAATCATAACTAACGATAATAACAGCAATAACGATAATAGTAACAAATTGATAATGATGATAATGATAATATTAGTATCTATACTATATCACTACTACTAAAGATAATAATGATGATGATAATGATTACCATTATGATAATCACGATGATAACGACAATGATAATGATAACAGTAATAATGAAAATGATAATGGTAACAATCCTAAAAATAACAATGATAATAATAAGTGGTAGTAGATTAATATATCGACATCGCTATTTATAAATACACATATCTTTATGTAGATTTCGACAGATGTACCTAGATGCACAGTCACACATACACACACAGACACAGTCACCCAAGCAGACCCATTCGTAGGCGTGGGGCTCAGAGCTTCATTAGGTTTTCTTTATATTTATTTTCCTGCCACGAGCTTCTCTCCAGAAAAGCTATAAAGACGTTAACGCGTGTTGATTGAAGCGTCTCTCTCACACAAACAACTACACAGACAAGCACACCTTTTCTTTCTTGTCTCACACACAACTACACAGAAAAAATCGGGTTTTTCTTCTCTCTCAGGCCCGTGCAGATGGATGGTGTACAGGGCTACAGATAATCTCGTACAAGCTCACGGATACACAAAAGATACTATTACACAAGCACTTGTAAATAGCCAGCCTTGTGACGCACACGCAAATACAAACAAACAGTGGCACACAAATACAGAAACAAATACCACACTTACCTAAAACAACACGTATAAATTACACCCCACACACGCTCACGAACTCACACACATTCTCTCTCTCTCTCTCTCTCTCTCTCTCTCTCTCTCTCTCTCTCTCTCTCTCTCTCTCTCTCTCTCTCTTCTCTCTCTCTCTCTCTCTCTCTCTCTCTCTCTCTCTCTCTCTCTCTCTCTCTCCCTTTCTCCTGGCTGTAGACTTCGGTCTCAAGATCACTTACTTTCTTTCCCTTTAAGAAAGTTATCATTCAAGGAATTCTTAAGTGTATAACGCTGTTGGCCCTTTCACACTTCTCCCAGGCATAAAGAGGACACACAGAAAAGGAGAAAAAAAAAAAGAAAGAAAAGGATTTCCAAAAACAAAAATGAAAACCCAGATAAAAGCCCTTTCTGAGAATGGATAAGAGAGACCCATTAGCCCGGCTCCTGTATCGCATGTCTGAGGCCAAACTGTAGCTTACCTTCAGAATCCCCCGGGAGCATAAGTGTTGCCAGACAATGTCCTTCAATTAAGCTTCCTCTCTCGGAACTCTCAGCGCTAATTGCTGACCGGAATCCTCGCCCTGGCCTGGCAACACTGTCGTCAACAGCGACAATGCTAATTCGAGAAAAGTGTCGGGATGCAGCACTTACTTGCCAGCCTGCGGGACAAATAAGTGCGTAGATGGGTGGGTATTGATTGGGGAATGAGAGGAAGGGAGGGAGGAAGAGAGTGAGGAAATGAGAAATGAATGGAAAGGGAAGGTGAGGAAATGAGGAATGAATGGAGAGAGAAGGTGAGGAAATGAGGGATGAATGGAGAGAGAAGGTGAAGAAATGAGGGATGAATGGAGAAATGTGAGGAAATGAGGGATGAATGGAGAGAGAAAGTGAAGAGAGAGAGAGAGAGAGAGAGAAAGACGGAAAGAGAAAGAGAAAGAGAGAGCGAAAGAGAGAAACGAACGAATCCGAAACCGAGAAACCTCTCTCTCTCTCGGAGACCTTACCGAAACCAAGAACGAGAACAAGAAGAAAGAGAGAGAGAGAAAGAGAGAGAGAAGAGAAAAGAAAGAGAAAGACAGACAGAGAGAGAAAACAGCAGCAGCAGCAGAGGATATCAAAAACTTCGCCGCCCGGAATACGAAGCACCCCGGGCGGCAGCGCGAGAGGGAGGGAGAGGCTCCGGCCCCGGGGGAACTCGGGAGGAAATGGACGGCGGCGGCGCTGGCGGTGCGGATTCACTGCGGGCGGCGGCGGGCGGACGCATGATGGATCGCGACGCCCCGAGATTGGGCCGCGTCGACGCCCCTTGAGACTCGGCCCTAATCTCGGGGGGGGAGGGGGGAGGGGGGAGGGGGGTGTGAGGAGGGGGTGGGGGTGGGGGGGGTGGTAATGAGGGGGATGGGGGGTGATGAGAAGGCTGTGGGGGTAGGGGTTGATGAGGAAGGCTGTGAGGAGGTGGGGGTGATGAAGGCTGTTGAGTGGGAGGGGGTGATGAGGAAGGCTGTGTGTGGGGGAGCGGGTGATTAGGCTGTGGGAGGTGAGGGGTGAGGAAAAGGCTGTGAGGGGGGGGGTGATGAGGAGGCTGTGGTGGTGGGGGGGGTTATGTGGAAGGCGTTGGGGGGGAGGGAAGTGGGGAGGGTAGGGGATGAGGAGGCTTTGGAGGGTGGAAGGTGGGAGGGAGGGATTTGGGAGGAGGGGACGGGGGGAAGATGTTGAGTAGGAAGGAAGGGTGGGGCGGGGGGGTATAGTAAGGGCATAGGTGGGTGAGGGGTGAGGGGTAGGATGGAAGGGGTTGGCGAGGAGGATAGGGTGGTGGGGAGGGAGGAGTGGAGGGGTGGGAGGGAGGGGGCGGGAAGGGGGAGTGGAGAGGGTGGGGAAGGACGAGGGGAGAAGGCGGGAGTGGTGAGGGTGGTGGCAGGGGGGATGTGGGTGGGGTAGGTTGGGGGGTCGGGGAGGGAGTGGGGAGGGGTGACAGAGGGGGGGGTAGGGGGGGCTTTGGAAAGGGAGGGGGGTGAAGAGAGGAAGGGCGAGGGGGGGGGTTTTTTTAACTCTGATTTTTCTATAACCAAAGGAACAATTTAACAGGAAGAGGGAGCCTATTTGTTCATGTGTCATCTGTCTTAATCTTTATTCCTTAATAGTCTTATCATCTATTGACTTCAAAATCTACATACATATCGCATATTGAATAAATCATATACGCCGTGTGTGTGTGTCCGTGCGCTATATGTGCGTGTTTGTGCGTGTGTGTGTATGTGTATGTGTATTTACTATGTATTTTTTATCCACAAGTCCTAACTACTACACGTTCTACTACCGAAACTTTTTTGGACGTCACACCTTTCCTAACACTTACAAGTCTAGACCACAAAATCATTTCCTTTTTAAACTTGGGTCTCATTCCCATTATCAAGGAAACACCGACTCAACGAAGCTAATCAATCCGTGATGAAGAAGATTTGAAAAAAAGTCACGTTTACTCCCATAATAATATTAATTCACCATTTTGCAACAGCTGCAATACTTAAAAGCTGGATAGAGAGATGTGGGGGAAAGAGACAGATAAATGGAAGATAGACAGATAAAAATACAGATGAAAGAGAGACACCCCAAACGAGAGAGTTAATAGACAAGAAAAGGAAGGCAGATAGAAAGATGGATAGATCGACAGACAGACAAAGAGAAAAATAAACTAGAAAGAAAACCACGCCAAACGAGAAAGTAAAAAAGATAAAAAAGGAAGAGAGACAGATAGAGAGTAAAAAGATTTAAAAAAGGAAGAGAGATAGACAGAGAGTAAAAAGATTTAAAAAGGAAG